ACCATAACATTTCATATTCATTTCAGATATACTTAAAGTATCTGCAATATTCAATTTTCACACTTTTATACTCGAAATTATTTTAATTTTATTAATTAGTTAGTCACCGGATACATATTAATAAAAAAAAACAAACTAAAACACTACACTATCCGCTTTCAGTTTCGTTAACGATTTATTGTAAACAAAAAAATCCAAACTTATGGTAAAATGTCACCTACCTTCTTAGATATTTTCTTGAACAGTTACAGTTGCTGGCTTTTGATGGTGCGCGCAATGGAATTTGAAGGGAGTGAGTTGTTTTAAACAATTTCAATATTTGTCTTAAAATAAATAAAATTTACAAGGTGCCATAATCGATTTCTTCCTTCAACAAGGTTGAAGTAATTTTTAACGATTTCTTCCTTCAACAAAATTGAAGTACCGTCAATTAACACTAGATTTCCTTTGACGCTAACCGTAAGAGTAAGAAGAGATAGAGAGAGGCCCATGACGACGATAATGATGATAAACGATCCATGATCATAATATAAATCTTTGAAAGTATTTGTAACAGAAAAGGGAAAAAATGTTGTGCAGTTGTCACAAATAACAGCAACGATGAGAACAACAACAGTAGCAGCAGCAGCAGCACCTTAACAAAGAAGTAGAAGAAGAAGAAGCCCTAGCACTGGCGGGTAGTAAATCACTTATGTATTATATATGTATAGTTAGTTAGTTGTTTGGTAGGTAAAATAAACAATAAATAAATAAATTCAGTCATGGTGATTGGAGACGCTATTGGTGAGTGGGCTGGCCTTCCTAAGGGCGTGCGCGATTCTGCCTTTAGCGGACAGCTGACTAGAATCACCAGGAACTGCTCTGCGAATCACCCGAGGCACTATCAGGATCGCTATCACCGCTACAATATGAAGGCACAGGTGCATATGTCTAAAACATAAATTTAATTAAAATAATATAGACGAATTGACCTAAAAAGGAACGTTTTTTGGTATCTTACTAAATTTTAATTGTAAAGGAAAAACTTTTGAGTGTTTCATTCCCACCAGCCAGTAATACTGGTGGGCGGGCAGTTCCTCCGGATTACGCCGGAAGGTAGGGCGGAAGGCCCTCTTCAGCCTCCTTTCAGGAATCGTGGAAATGGGTGGGTGGTGGTTCGGGTGAGAAAGATAGAGACGGACGAAATGAAGACAGAAATTTTATTTGTGGAGTATTACTGCCCCAGCATTTGTCTAAGTGATCCAAGGAAACCACAGAAAAACTTGGACCAAGGCAGACAGACACGGAATTAAACCGGTGTCTTCCCGAATGCTAAGCAATGCCCTAAACCAGTGGTGTTGTCGAGCCGGAACGCTCCAGAACGTCGTTACTTTTTGGACAGGAACGCGTTCCGGAACTAAAGATGATTTCTGATAACGAGGATTGGCTGACGAATTGAAAAAAAAATTAAAAAGAATTTCTAATTTTTGACGAATTTTTATATGTATTATTATAAACAAGGGTTTGAACCGAACCCCGAACCGGAACGAACCGGCTTGTTTTTCCGAACCGTGAACAGGGCCGATCCTGGCGACGGGCGAAAATTGGGGGAAATCCCCCCCGTCGTCGTCAAATTTGGAACATGAGACCGCACAGAGCGGCCGCTTATCCAGGATCGGCCCTGTCTATATAATTATATATACGCGTTCCGGAAAAAAAATTAGCACAACACCACTGACCTAAACTTCTGGGGCCTAGAAATGTAGACTATGCTGCTCGGTATTGGTGTAAAGGACCCCGTTAGATCCTTACGGAAAATGGCCCTCTGTTGAATTTCTTGAAACTTTGGATTCTGGCAGTTCTCGACATGCAGATCAAAAGTTTCATTGGGCGCTAAGATGTAAAAAACTCATCTTTTTGAGATATGGTCCAAATGTACATGGAAGTACAGGAAAATTCAATTCCGGCCCTGGTAAAGAAATATGACCCGCAACGTCACACTCAATCGGCTGGAAATTACCAGCATCAGTGTAGCAACTGTGTTGTATTGTTTTGCTTACATATTGTTTTTTGTTAGATAAGATTAAGAGTGGTTCAGGGTGTTCGTCGTACAAATGGCGCGGTTGTACCACAGATGGCGTTTAGGCGCTGAGTTAAGACAGCAGGTAAAGTTGGTCTGCGTCCTGTCGAAACTGTCTGCGACGCGCTGATGAGATCCAACATGTACGAAATCGCGATCCGCGTCTACAGTTTCGACAGAATACTGATCATTTCGAAATTTTTTGTTCGAGTTTGTCTTCTGTTAATGTATATAGACGATAACAACACAATTAAACTTCCTTGTGTTGTTCATTATTGCTGTACTGACACTGAGTTCAACAATTGCGCCGCACCGTTTAAAAGTTATATGAAAAATTTTCTTGACCGTGAAAATAGAAGGTAACGATGATATGGAAACGCAGCGAGATTCTATAGGGTTGTTCGGAAAGTCATTTCGTTTTTTCCCGACAGAGGATTTAATTGTATTCTTTTGCACCCAACTTCACATTTAAGCCGTATAATTTTTATATGCTTTGAGAGCTCATATACCATATAGCTACACCCACCATATTCTCCAGACCTGGCACCATAGGATTATTATTTTTTCCGGTCACTCCAAAATGTTTTAGACGGTAAAACCTTCACCTCAAATGAGGAGGTCAAAAACCTCGATCATTTTTTTGCCAGCAAAGACCAAAAATTTTATGAGCGTGGAATTATGCTACTACCAGAAAGATGGCAAAAGGTGTTGGACCAGAACGGTCAATATATAATTTAATAAAGTATTTGTTTATTATACGAAAACTGTCTTTCATTTCCACAAAAAAAAAAAACGAAATGACTTTGCGAACAACCCTATAGTTCATTATTCGGTCGACCAAACGCGCCGTTGTGAAAACACGTCTTGTTGACCGACGAGCGTTTATATGTAAGCGTTTAAACGCGCGTCATCAGCTCCGTGTGAAACGGCACTTATTGATTTTTAATACATTTAGTGCGCCCATAGACAATTTTTATAAGATTCAAAAAATGTTGATGTACTTACAGGTAGAGCCGAACACTGGGCCAAAAATCAAGTAGTACAAAAGTAAACGTAATATAAGCCATAACTAAACGGGTTAAAATGCATGTGGCAATGTCATAGATCAACTTCAGTTCTGCATTGCCCGTAAAGTAATCCCTTACTGTTCTCCTCATCTGCAACAACCAACAAAAAAATAAATAATTTTATGCCAACTATCAAAATATGTAGTACGAAAATAGAAGAAATTTTTATTAACGATTACGTACCGTTCTGGCAGCTATTGTAAAAATGGCTCCGTTTGCAAAAGTTAAATAGTAACCTGGATAAAATCCGTGCCACAGGGCGGATAAGGCATACGTTAGAACGATAGGGTAATTTTGTACTCTCTCATACACCACCATACGTAACCATTTATTGGTTCCCATGTTCCAAGCTTCTATGCTTTCACGCAAGTTTGAACCAAACTGAAACAAATAAATATTATCCTGGTTAATCTAAAAATTATGATAAATCAGTAACGTTTTATGGTCCGTTTGTTGAACCAAACGCCATTCCGGGCTCCATATATGAACCATCGAAAATATCAGGTAATTTCCATGGGTTCAACAGACCACAACGAGACGCAGAAAGACAGGACGGAATATATACCATTTGATGAAGTTATCGTCTAACGAAATGTCTTTCTTGTGAAGCTTCACGTCTGTACTAAGTACATTTTACTTTGGTATAAAATCATGAGAGATGGACATACCCGACTGGAAATTAGTTCAGAGAACCTGGATTATGATCACATGTGGATTAGATTTTCCGTAATACGGGCATCTGACCAGTTTCTGATCAGAGTACAGTACTCTATCCGTTGATCCACCCATCTGATCAGAGTACAGTACCTACTCCATTCCTTGATCTGGTCATCCGATCAGAAATTGACAGTAGAGTATCCTATCACTTAATCCAGTCACCTGACCAATTTCTTATCACTACTATATTTAATTTAAAAACATATTTGGCTAAACATTATATTGCACCCTTTTGTACCCGACTGGAAATTAGTTCAGAGAACCCGGATTATGATCAGATGCGGATTAGATTTTCCGTAATACGGGCATCTGATCAGTTTCTGATCAGAGTACAGTACTCCATTCCTTGATCTGGTCACCCGATCAGAAATTGATCAACGCATACTACAACATCCCACATCCTTTACTATCTGTAAACAGTAATCTAGTCTATATTTACCTCTACTCCTCTTAACTCCTATTTCTACTTCTAATATGTCTCTGACTATCTCTTCAATACAGCCAATCTATACCTAAAATATTCTGTTTCTATATAAAAAAAACACAAACTCCCAAATAACTGAGATTAACAAGAACAAATACAACTTTATTGGTGAAATTGATTTTAATGTTTGAAATCATTACTACATTTCGGTTTCTGGACTGATTTGCATACAATTTAATCACATGGCATTAAATTTAATGACATGTGGGAGGTATCCTCACTTTACTGTTAACAGCAACGAAATCAATGTGCCCCTCAATCTTGCTCCAATCAACCCCATACTTAACAGTATTTCCGTATTTGTATGCTTTCTTGAAATACACCTTGCCGTCCAAATGCTTATGCTGAACCTTTTCAATAAACTCGTATTCGTATGCACCCTCGAATTTTTCCAGTTGATTGTGATTCCTAATTTCTTCGGTTGTCAATAAGACACAATTCCAAGGCGACCATTCCTTGTCTTTCTCCCAACGTGCCAGCCGAAGGGCATGGATATCGTCACATTCACTGAGCGCTGAGTGTCCGTGCCATATGTGATCCACGATGTACTGGATGTCTTCGTTGCCTAAGACGAAAGCCACAGATGATTGAGCTCCTTTTCTTCTTTCTTCTCTTCTGATGCACTTCAGGATGTAGGCGTATGGGGCCATGTTGATTGGCGGTTGTTGCACCTTGTCAATCCATATGCACGAGTTGCAGATACGGAGGAGTTTGGTACGGGAATCGATCGGGAATTCGTTGTGGCTTTTCAGTTTCTGGCATCTCTGACAGAGGAATAAATCCTGGTGCATCACCTTTTCTTTAACTCTCACCAAGCGGTTTGTTATACCCTCGTTGCATTCACGTTGGTTTAAGTGTTTCATGAGGAGATGTTCAATTCTTTTTTGGAGCATTTCCAGTTGTTTATATTCAAATCCTCGAGAAATCAATACGCAACATCGATCTATCAGTTCAACTATTTCGTTTGACAGTTGGCAGTTATGATCCTGGTCTTGTAGTTGCTTTTTGACGTTGAATAAGGCGTTCAGGCGACGTTCCTTGCACAAATCATGGTCACGAAGTGTTCGGAACAGATCATGGTACTGACGAGCTTTCTGGGTTTCTAAGGTATCCATTTGCACATAGAGATTCCTGTAGTTGCTATTCCATTCCAAAGGTGTCCCTATTGTTAGGAAAAATTCCTCTTCTTTTTTCATTTCATAATCTTCTTTCATCTTTTGCCTCTGTTTGTCAATTGTGTTTAACAATTGGATTTCTTTCTCGAGAAGTATGTAGAATTCAGATATTTTTGCTGGGCCCGAAAAATTTTCACAAATTTTTCGTATTTCTGCCAATTTCCACCTAACAGACAAAAGTCCATATAGGAACATATATAAAAGAAGCTGCGATAATCAAATAAACGGAAAAATAGATAGACTCATTCTAATATACAACGGCGGGCTGAAAAGTTCGTAAACTGACCCATATATGGCTCTACTACTATCAAATCCATATGATTTTTAGTTAGCCCTAACCTTCAAAAGACACGTGTATAAATTTCACAGCTGTTGCACTATTGGTATCTGAGTTATAGCATTTTTGGTGAAAGAACTTTTGTTGTTTGAAAAAGAAAGTGCTGTTTCATTAAGACAATGCACCGTGTCACAAATCAATGAAATCGATGGCAAAATTCCATGAATTGGGCTTCGAATTGCTTCCGCATCTACTGTATTCTCCGGATCTGCCCCCCAGCGCCTTTTTTCTGTTCTCAGACCTCAAAAAGGTGCTCGCTGGATTGAAATTTCGCGCCGATGAAGAGGTAACTGCCGAAACTGAAGCCTATTTTGAGGCTAAAGACAAATCGTATTAAAAATTGTATGACCGCTATAATCGTTGTATCGCCTTCGAAGGGAACTATATTGAATAATAAAATCAAATTCTATCGAAAAAAATAATTTTTTGTATGCTAGCCTACGAACTTTTCAGCTCGCCTGTTCCATGGCAAAAAATCACTGAGGACATGTATTTACACCACTTATTATATGAGCAGTATTAACGCGAGATTATCAGCCAGTTAAATTGGTCCCTCATTTTTTACCTACTTTTTATAACCGGAAATTTGCTTGAGAAAATTTTAGGATTAATTTTCTTTTTTTCTCTGAATTAAGTAGACTAACATTTTGCAGTGAGTTTTTTCGTTAATTTTGCGGAATAAAAAGCATGACTTTTTAATAAAATACATGGAAATTGCGGTAGGATGATTATAAAAAAACATTGTAATAATTTCGAAGAAAAACGAACAATTTATTTTCACAAGATATAATGTTTTCTTTAATATTCTCGGAAACTTGAGGACGGTTTTATATAACGCCCACTCACTGAAAACAGTTGTTTAGCGTGAAAGAAGATGAAAAGCTAAAGCAACTTGAGAATTCCATCTACATTTATTGCATTTTTCTAGTTGTATGCTTTTCGACTGCAGTACTCTCTGAACGTTGACATTCACGTTTCTTGGAAATGAAAAATGATGCATAAACTCTAGGGTGAACTACTTGGATAAAATAAAAAAATAAAAATCCCTAAGCTAATTTTTTATCTCAAATTTTGGTTTAAAATAGTATAGACAAATTCGGTTTAATCGTAACCTATAATTGTATATTACAAATGAGTCGAATGAGCTGTTATCATTATCATCACTTGCTTGGATGGGTTCATACAAACTATGTAAATGACGTAAACGCAATCTCTCAATAATTTTACAGTATACTATGTTACCTACCTGTGAACCATAGCATGCAACATACGAAAATCTTCTTTCGTTCTTGGAAACACTTTGGCAATTAATTCTCGCCTTCTCCTTTCCGCATCTTCCCTTATCAGAAACTCCTCATACTCTTTTTCCAGACGAATCCGTTTCTTATATTCATCAGAGAGAGCTCGGAGTGCTTTTCTCATTTTCCAAGCCCTAAAATATCTCTGTATTCTCCGAATTTTTTCTGGTAAATCGATTCTTTTCTCGCGTTCCTCAGCGGTTTCATATGGACCGGCCTGCATTATCTTATCGTTTACATTTGGAATCCAAGTGTTCTCATTAGCCATCTGTTGGGCTCTTTCGTAATGGGCATCGTACATCCTGCTCCTGTAGAAATAGGTCTGAGTGTCCCTATGGTTCTTCATCCACGGGGGCACTTTTGGTTTGGGCGGGCCAGTTTGAGAATAACCATTGTGGTATTCTAAATGAGTTTGGGTATTGACGAACCCTCCAAGGAACGGTTTCTTTATGCGCCTGTCTTCAATTTCGACAATAAGCTCTCTGTATTTTTCTGGATAACATGGATCTTCTACTCTGACAGTTATAACATCCACAGGAACCAAATCTTTATACGCATTCTCGGCTAAAATCTTCCGGTCTGGATCTGTAGATAGTAGAAACAATTCCACTTTACCATAAAGTTCTACGTCAAAGGTGTAGAGCGGTTTCTCATCGGATATGTCATTTTCGTCGCTGTCCAATATCTTGAGTATCAACGGTGGCACGGAAAACACTCTACCCAAGATCACTTTAACATTAGCGATTGTTAATTTTGACGAGTACGACTGGGTGAAGAAGTTGTCATCCACTGTAGTAAATTTGACCGTTATCATGTCCAAACTTTCGTCTTCTATGCTGTATTCCAGGGACTCAGTGGAGTGGAACACTACTCTGCACATTTTGTCCAATTCTCTCCGCAATTTAAAATCTGTCCGAATCTCGTTCATGGTGAGACTTTTAATAATTAATAAATCACAAGATTTCAGAGTATCCTCAACGAGAGTGTCATAGAAATGTCAGCGAAAACGTCGCTAAGCGATATTTATACCGTTATGGCTGCGAGAATCGATATTCTTGTTATTCACGTTATAGTAACGACTGGACTGATACGAACTGAACGAAATTAAAGTATCGTAAATCAGCCAAAACTGGAACGAGCTTGATCAATATTAAAGTATGCATCTGGTTGGGAAATTAGGGAATTAAAACGGGAAATTTCAGACTTCGTTACATCAAAGAACTTCTAGAAAGCTCTACCTAGGGTTGTACATTTTTCAACAAATTTGAAACGTTCTGAAAAGTTTATTCATGAAGACCCTATACTCCGACTATTATCTTTATTATTATCACGCATTCGTTGAGTTAAAGCAATTGCAAAACTCTTGACGGTTCCAAATTGGTTGAAAACGTTTTCATTTATTTCATTTAAATATTAATGTGAAAATTAATTTTCAATTTTTTACCCAACATAAATTACCGCAAGTTAAGACAACAGCAACAAATTTTTCCTCATTAACTTGAGGTAACTTTCAAATGGGTAAAAAATTGAAAATGAATTTTCACATTAATATTTGATATTAACCATCATTAAATATCAACGTGTTTCACATAATAATAATTTATTCAAAAATAAGTTGGCGTAGCAATTTTTGCAAATAAATTCATATAAAATTTCTTTCATAACACAATAGGAAGGGAGTTACACAAGGATGCACACTGTCACCACTACTTTTTAATCCATACATATTCGGAGATGCTAATCTTATTGAATACATAACCCTACCTAGGTTATCTATTGTAATGTTCGTAGGTTTAACAAAATTAACTTCTAATACTGATAACCACAAAAACTATTTATTTACGCTAATTATTGAATTTAAAAACACTATTAAATTATTACTAAAGTTAGGTTATGAATTATTCTATTTATTTACACTACTGTTGATATATCACTATTCACGGCGCTATTTATTTCTGGATTCACTTCTGCAACGATCAATTTATTTCTACTTCTCTAGGCGATCGTCTCTTCTTTTAAATACTCTTTTGTCTACTTTCTTGAATCTTCTGGAAACATCCGGATTAGTTTATTTTTTCTTTGAACTGTTTAACTGCTTTCCCAGAACGCAGTTACGACACACAAGATTACAAATACGACGCATATGAAGAAAGGCGCCCGCGGCTAGTCGATAAGCCGTTCACCCACACGTGTTCCCGATCGCACACAAACACACTCGTGCTCGCTGCAGTATACACATATATAGAGACAAAAGATTTTGCATGGATAGATTTACAGATGATATAGTGGTGTTAGCATCCAGCAAGGAAGAGTTGGAGATAGCGATATTGACGACAGATTATAGTATGCAAAGAGCCGTATATAAGAAAAGGAGCAAAAAATTAGAAGAAGTTACTGAGTTTTGATATCTAGAAAGTCAAAACAAAAAGAAATCACCTTTATGTTCGCATACAGCGTATGATGAAAATATTGTGGATATTAGGGAAGATTAGTAATGTGGAGGTGCTAGAAAGGGTAGGAGAGCAGACAATGCTATGGAAGTCGAAAGCAAATAGGCGAGATAGGTTGGTAGGACATCTCAGGTATAAAGAGCTAGTGAGAGACATACTAAATACAGGAGCAGAGGTAGAGTTAGAATAGATTACTGTTCATAAATGGTTAGGGTTGTGGGATGTTCTAGTTTTAGAGAAATGCGAAGATTAGCTCAGGATAGGAAGGAGTGGAGATGGCGTGTAAAGATTATCGAAGTATGGAAAAAGTGAAGGTCCAACTAGTCTTAGGATTGACTACCCATTTCGATCAATGGGTCATTTTCCATTCCATTTTATTTTCACTTTTTCAAAATGACCTTTTGGCCGAAACATACGTTAGATTTAACATTAAACCCCCACGAGCGTCTTATTATTCTTCTTAATTATTTATTAATACCTAATATTACAGTAGGTACACTGAAATTCGAGTTACAGAGATTCGACTGCATGATACATACACACACTACCCTTATAGTCGATGTCGACTATCAGTATCAGAAACAAAGGCTGCTATCCTGAGGCTATTAATATCAAAGAGGTAAGCGCGTATAAAAATAAATCGCACCGAATGCATTCATGAGGAGCTACTTGTAACAGTGGCGGTGGGCCAAAAATAATGAACTTTTATAAAAGCAAAACAATGACGATGAGCCGGAACTGACAATGATAATCAGATAGAAAAGTATGTACAAGTTTGAGTTGGATAAGTAGGTGTACAATTGTGACATACAAACTCAGGGACGGTCACCAAACTCTCATACTAATGAATAAATAAATATTATTATACATGTAACGTTGTTTTCAAATTAGTCCACTGTTACACTGATTAATTAAGTTAATTGATAAAAACAGGATTCAGAAGTAATAGTTTAGGTGTGAAAAACGTATAGATTGTTTATTTATGAAAGATTCAATCAACGCTTAATCTTCTGGTTGAGTTTTACTGTAGTGCGATTTAAAAATTTGACATTGAACTGACGATCAGCGGTTCAAACTACATTACAATATGACAAGTGTTGGAAATGCTCCAACTTGTCAATCTCAAAGCATCTACGTACTTGAAGAAATTTATTTGTATGAGCAATTAATGAAAATCACCGTTACAAGTACCGTTTTCAATTAGGGGTAATAAATCATAAATGCAAACTTTATTAAACACTCTTCAAACACACCATACTTTTAGATTTTTCTTGTTAGGTAGAAAATTGGCTTTATTTAAGAAAGCAAACATAAATCGATCTGCACGTGCAAGAAAATATAAAAGATAAAAACTAATTTTTTCTTACAGACAGATACTTAATTATCCCATTCTAACTTAAAAAAAAAACACTTTAAAATACAAACTCGAAATTTCGAATTGAGTATTAATTTACCTATCAGTATCGGCTTTCACGGATGTAATCAATGGTATCGTAGAATTATGATTCGGGTTAAAGAATCGTGGTCTAAATAAACTGTTAGGTTCAGACGTTCCGTTGGTAAATGTGACTGAAATCTCCAGCGCTCATGTTTACTTGCAAACTCTAAAAAGATACGTGGACAGCGAAGCAAAAAGGAAAGGCTAGCAGACATATTAGAACCAGAAACAGGAGTAAAGAGAAGCAAATGAAGATCTAGATTACTGTTCGCAATATTAAGAATGCGGAATATGGCCTAATGAGTATTGAAACCGGAATGTCATAACAAATGTTGTGAAGTGTCACAAACGGCGTGGTGAATGCCATCTGCGGATCACTCAGTCCAACAAGGTCCATTTACGTTGACGGATGGTTATTGAATATACTGAATGCCACTATATATCCACTGAACCACAGATGGCGTTCACTACGCTGTTTGTGGTACTTTATAAAACGCCGTCTCTAGGTAGCAGGTAGAGTTGGCCTGTGCTCTCTATACTCCTAGCTTCGCTTTCTAGCGCGAGTGTCCACCTATTACATCAGAGGTAGACCACCTATTCCGACAGTCCCCCCCACAACACTCCCTGAGCCCTACGCCTAACCATTTTTCCTTCTCAACCCTCTCCCCAATCCCAACCTTCCAATATCTTCCCGGGGATGAGTTACCCTCAGGGTTTATATCCCCACTCGAGGAGGGGTCTTAGTCGGTAAAAATCCGACACTACCTACCTTCCTTCAGAGGGTGTCTTCTGTAGATTTCCCCTCCTCGAGAGTAATATAAGCAATAAAAAATCTGTGTCCTCTATTCTCGCTTCACTCTTTAGCGCGAGTGTCCACCCATCAGTTTAGAGGTGGACCACCTACTTCGACGGTTTCCCTCCCCAATACTCCCTTCTCCCCCACGCTTAATCCTTTTTCTCATCTCAATCCTCTTCTCAATCCCAACCTACCATTTTCTTCCCGGGGATGAGTAACCCTCAAGGTTTATCTCCCCACTCAAGGAGGGGTTTTAGTCAGTAAAAATCCGAAACTACCTCACCTCAGGAGGTGTCTTTTGAAGATTTCCCCTCTTCAAAAATAATCTAAACAAAAAAAACAGGCCTTAGATCGAGTCCGGCACGAAGGTCTCATTTCCAAACTCATTGCCCTCAAAACTCCACACGTCCTTATCAGGGTTATTAGATCCTTTCTTTCTTTGTTGGTTCTGCTTTATCCACCAGCAAACCCGTCACGGCTGGCGTCCCCCAAGGTTCCACGCTGTCGCTCCTTCTATTTAATTTCTTCTGTGCAGGCTTACCGTCTCACCCTTCAATTCTCATTTCCCTTTACGCCGATGATATTACCCTCAAAAATTCCATCAAAACAATCATACGGAGCTCCTCAAATATTAACACATTTCTGCCCCTGCTCCCCATCTGGTATCGCAAATGGAAACTTATTTGACCATTAACGAGACCAAGTCGGAAACTATCTTCTTCTCCCACAGGATCTGAAAGCCTCCCACAATCACCGCTAACAACCAACCCATTAAATGGAGCAACTCCTTCAGTTATCCCGGCGTTGTTTTTAATAGAGGATTCACATGGCGAAAACACATCCTTGCCACCCGTGCCAATACCCTAGGCGCCTTTCTCTCCCTGAAATTCTTCTTCCAAAACAGCTCCATCTCACATCACAAAAATCCATGCGTTCAACGCAATTATTAGAAGCATTTGATTTTACTACATTCCAATCTGGGGATGCACTGACCCCGCCGCCTATAAATTGTTCAAGGCACTTACATGCGGATTCTTCGTTCCGTATTCAACTACCCATGGTTCATCAGAAACACACAATTTCTGAAAGAAACTGGTCTATCTTCTCTCCCCTGTCAAGTCACACAAACCCCTCTATTTCGATATTTTTCGATTTTGCCCCTAAACCAAACGATCGTTTCAGAAAGCTATGCCACCTTTTCTCTTGAGTTGCTCACCCTTTGCTCAACTCTAGTTTCGCTCTTTAACGCGAGTGCCCACCCAACTCACTGGGGTGGGACACCGGTTTTTCACCCACACTATTCCTTTCCCCAAAACTCTCCCTCTCCTTACTCAATCCACTCCTCTCTCTCTCAATAAACCTTCCTGGGATGCGCAACCGTCTGGTTGAATTATCTACTCGAGGAGGGGTTTTAGTAGGTGGGCGCTTCGGCGAATTCGACACTACCCTCCTCCAGGGGATGTCTTTTTAAGATTTCCCCTCCTCGAGGAAAAACTGAACAAAAAGTCTGTGTCCTGTCAAAACTGATGAGATCCAACAAGATCAAAATCGTGATCCACGTCTAGCAGTTTCGACAGAACACTGACTACCATGAACTTTTTTTCGAGTGTTATGAGTTACTATTTATATATTAATTTTTTTTCTTGGTGTGCTTTACTCCCACCAGCTAATACTCGTTATTGGGTAGTCCCCCCAGCCTACATCCTAGTGTAAAATAGGAAGGTTGAAAGGCCCTTTCGGATAATAATTTAGGTGTCGTGGGAATGGATGGGTGGCAATTACGGAGAGAATATGAAACGGACAAAGTAAAGACAAGGAAAGTGGAAGAATGTACATATGTTGAATGTTACTATCTCAAAACCAATCAATAGTATTAATTAAATTATTAGTCAATAAGAGGTTGATTAGTGTGTATCGTTTTTGTGAATAAGGTAAAATTATGGACTTATCTTCGCGGAAGTTTGATTTTCACTCTTAAGTCTTAATCCACTACGTAAGGACTCTAATCAAAAGTCCCTGTACGTAAAATTTTTATTCGGGGCACAACACTAAGCTATAATCTAAACCGCTGGATAATGCTACCGGATTACCCTATGTAAATAATATTATTCACCCGGCAGTTTCTAGCTTTATTTATTTTTTTATTGGTTACGTACTTAACAATACTGTAGCTTCAGTTTTTCATTGTGGGACCATCCTTCGTTCTAGGTTATTTCCAATTGGCCTACTTTTAAAATTGCCAATTTCAGGAAAATAAAAACACGTTACTCACCTTCATTCAGAGTGATAAAAGGTATTGAAAACGACCAATAAATAATACAACGATGCACATGACTTACCTCGAATTTCAATATATTGATGTTCGAGAATCGGTTCCATTTGAAAGCACCGTGCTCGTCGTACCCGTTGAAGCCCAACCCTGCATTATTACAGATCGCATCGGACAATAACCAGGCAAAGTAATACTTGAATCTGACCAGCATGGTGACCATGTGCAAATAAACAAACTTGTACGTAAGACTTTTGTTCTCGAAATCGTCATCTTTTAAACTGGCAATGGGAAACATCGGGGTGAACTTTATGTATATGAAGGCGCATATCAAAGACAAAATTGCCTTCTGGAAACAAACTTTTATGGGTGACGGCTCGATTACTACAGTTTTGTCCTGGTTCTTCTTATCAATTGTGCCCTACAACAAGAAAATTTGTTTTAATTAAATTTATAATGCCGCTGGCGATCGATACCGGCGATATTTTTTATGTACCCGAAAACTGACAACTGCGGGTCGTAAATCATCTATCTATCATTCCGTAACCTTACATAAGTTATGACTAATGACAGTTGATACAAACAATTACTAAGGGAAAGAAGTAAACAGCGAATTGGGATCCGTCAAATGGGCATACACCATCTGGTGGCAAAATTTATAACTCGAATGAGGGAAAAATTACATAGGAACTGTGCACGCAAATTGTAAAATTGTTTATTAAAACAATAAAACACGTTAAAAAAGTAAAATTTTTTTTGATGATGGAATCGACGAAGTTTTCTTCTAAAGTTAAATCAAATAAAAAGTTAATATGTTCAGTGAAAAGCTGCAATAACACTTCAGACATAGATCTTCACTCTTCACCTACATTAACTACTTTCCAATAAAAACTAACCGTTTTATATATGTAAAAAATATATACGGAAAATTAGAGAAAAAAGTAAACTAATAGAAGCTTGGATGAAAGCAGTAGGTATCAAAGAAGTGAATTCCGGAATAAAAATTTGTTCACGTCATTTTAATGCACATGATTATATTTCAGCAAGTATTTACCATCAGCCATAACCTTAATATTTAAAACTAGAATCATACTAAAATTATAAAGTGAGAAATTATTTATTCCTGTGTAATTGATTTAACACAATTCTAATGATACGATATAAGTATTTTGAGGTTAAGAACCTACCTGCTGCAATACAACAAAGTTGCAATAATGTGTTTGCAACGTTCTCTTAAATCGGCTTTGCACGTGCAAGTCATTGATATGATATTGCTTAAATCACCCAGAATCACCTCACCAATTATATAACGTGAATCACTTTTTAAATCCGAAGTTTGTAAAAAGTAGGCAGTAAACTTGACGGAATTTGAAGGCTAGCTTCCGGATTTGTTATTTCCGAATTTTATAATGTGATTGGCATTAAAAACACGCTCACCTTCAACGAAATTTCCTTTCCGAGGCTTTGTGTCAGCCCAATCACATATTGTGTCAATACTTATCATTTTATCGTAATTTAAAAACTTGGAAATTGCACGGTACACAATAGGAACTACGATAAATTTTCCCTAATCGGCGCCATGTTTTTAGGCTCCTCCCATTTGACGGATCCCAATAAATCCACATAGTACATTTCTGTGTTATATAAATTATGTATATATACATATATTTAGAGTACCAATCAATAGACATATAAAAAATATATTACATTTTTATGCCATTGTGATGGTCTATTTATAATTGAAATTAAGGACTTACATTGGATGTTACCGTCATGAAGCTCTTGCCATCAATAAAGTCCATGTAGTCTCTATAAAATATGGCAGGGCCAGCCATCAAGGCGGGGAAGTTTAGGGAGTAACTGAAATACTCGAGGGCTGTGGGCATACGACGCACTGCGTAATACTTTTGATTTTTTGACAAGTCCACTTCCTTCCGCGTAAGACCATCGTGTATATTGAATGCCAAACTGGTTACCTTCTGCGTTATTACCATTAACGGACCTGAAATAGAAAGACCTGTTAAAGGATTACAAGTTTTGCAAAACTCTCATATTGTTGTCATAAATAATATAATCAACCATTAATGATAAAGGAAATCCTTGTCAAATAAATATTATATACTCGTATATACTACAAACATTATGGGCATTATCAACCAAAAGAGAAAAATTTTAAAAACCGAAAACTACCGAGTTCAGACTAATAATTCTGTGAACAATTTTTCGGATAACATTCAATTATCCTGAAGCCTTTATGGTTTTTGTTATTTCTAAATTTTGTGTTTCAATAACTACCTACACAGCTTATAAAGTTAACCATCTGCAGGATTTTGTCTAAAAATGATCTGTAGTACTGTTTCTTAATGGTAATACCAAATTCAGGTTCATTTTTAGGTTTGACATTATTATCCTGCGGCATAATAGCGGGCAAGGATATGGGAGGATAGAAAAAGCACCTGCTCGATGGGGGCACATGGGGACCAATTCCAAAGAAAAACAATTACAGACTTTTTTTAAACAGGTATCACAGACGTATTGCAAATGTCAAATACAGCTGCTGGAATTTGTGTTATCTAAAAACTTTGTTGTTTCAATTTGATCCCTAAAAGGTTATGATTGGTACCTCTAACCTTTGCGATTAGTGGGCTAATTAGGAAAAGTATCAGTAAAATAGAATAAAAAATCATGATAAGGTTATTGTGCGAAACATGGACGGTGGGCGCGGCGAAAAAATTAAATTTAGAAGCGTTCCAAATGTGGTGTTACAGACGAATTATGAGGATACCGTGGATAGAGATGAATACGAGAACAGAGAATTCTATGGAAGTCAATAGGAAATATGCGGGATAGATTGGTAGGACATCTCAGATATGAAGCAGAAACAGGAGTTAAGAGGAGTAGAAGTGGACCTAGATGAGATTACTATTCACAAATAGCTAAGGATGTGGGATGTTTTAGTGCTTCCATTTTATAAAAAATAATAGAACCACAATTGTTTCGCTAACACAATAGCTTTTTCAAGTGGAGTGTTACAGTAAATATTTTACAGAATTAACTTATATATACCTTAACTAAAAGTGGTGTGGGGGTTACATTAGAATAAATTTAACAAGGGTGATGTATTTAACTTTATTTGATCATTTAACAATAGTTCTGCGTTTCGATTTTTAATTTTATTATTTCCAGAGATTCTAAAATTTTAAGTACTATTTCTTCGTTTAATGTGTGGAAAATTCTATAATTTCCTTTAAACCCATGATTTTCTTAGACGATTGGAGTTATCAGAAGTTTCTTTTCTAAATTCAGTTTTTAAAATTTTCAATAATTCTGGTTTTGAATGTTCTTTCTGTTTGGCCAATATAGCATTTGTCACATGTACCACTTATTAACTTGTAGACGCTTAATTTTTTAGAATTAAAATAAATTTTCTTAATTTGTTTGTGGTTTTAAATAATAACATTTTCTTTTCCAAAAATTGATGAAATAATGATACTTGCTGCTTTTAAAATGACTTAAAAGCAGAAATCTTACAAATATCTACCTATTTGTTGCAACACAAAACAATTATTCGTGAAATCGCATTAATTTTAATAAATCCATAAAATTGTCTATTATAGTATAATGATTTAAATTTGATACTGGACTTCCAAACGTAAATAACCTCATTACATGCTTAGGCATTGATTAATATTTTTTAAAGGGTGTTGTGTAGTGTTTATGTAGTCCTCTAAACATTCACCCGAGTATTTTTATTTTACGATAACACACGGGCGTTGCTTTCTGACCCAGTTGTTACTTAATTAAACTGATTTGTCGACGGAAGTCAATCATAAATTAACATTAATTGAAAATAACGAAATGCATTTATGCGTCACTATCGGTTATTGAACATTTCAATATATAATTGCAGGCCAATAATATAATTAAGCAATCTACCATAATGCACATGTATGTATTGCTAAAATTAGCATACGTAATATATGTACTTATGCATATTTCAAAAGTTAAACATTTTGTCTCGGTTTGTTTTTGTATTAGCCTATGGGTAGTAAACAGAAGTGAATTTTTGTGAAATATCTAAATAATTCCGAATGTTCTGTATCACCGATCTGATAAACTGAGTACCGTTGTTGGAACTGATATTCCTGAGGATTCNGCTCACCTTCAACGAAATTTCCTTTCCGAGGCTTTGTGTCAGCCCAATCACATATTGTGTCAATACTTATCATTTTATCGTAATTTAAAAACTTGGAAACTGCACGGTACACAATAGGAACTACGATAAATTTTCCCTAATCGGCGCCATGTTTTTAGGCTCCTCCCATTTGACGGATCCCAATAAATCCACATAGTACATTTCTGTGTTATATAAATTATGTATATATACATATATTTAGAGTACCAATCAATAGACATATAAAAAATATATTACATTTTTATGCCATTGTGATGGTCTATTTATAATTGAAATTAAGGACTTACATTGGATGTTACCGTCATGAAGCTCTTGCCATCAATGAAGTCCATGTAGTCCCTGTAAAATATGGCAGGGCCAGCCATCAAGGCGGGGAAGTTTAGGGCGTAACTGAAATACTCGAGGGCTGTGGGCATACGACGCACTGCGTAATACTTTTGATTTTTTGACAAGTCCACTTCCTTCCGCGTAAGACCATCGTGTATATTGAATGCCAAACTGGTTACCTTCTGCGTTATTACCATTAACGGACCTGAAATAGAAAGACCTGTTAAAGGATTACAAGTTTTGCAAAACTCTCATATTGTTGTCATAAATAATATAATCAACCATTAATGATAAAGGAAATCCTTGTCAAATAAATATTATATACTCGTATATACTACAAACATTATGGGCATTATCAACCAAAAGAGAAAAATTTTAAAAACCGAAAACTACCGAGTTCAGACTAATAATTTTTCGGATAACATTCAATTCTCCTGAAGCCTTTATGGTTTATGGTTTTTGTTATTTCTAAATTTTGTGTTTCAATAACTACCTACACAGCTTATAAAGTCAACCATCTGCAGGATTTTGTCTAAAAATGATCTGTAGTACTGTTTCTTAATGGTAATACCAAATTCAGGTTCATTTTTAGGTTTGACATTATTATCCTGCGGCATAATAGCGGGCAAGGATATGGGAGGATAGAAAAAGCACCTGCTCGATGGGGGCACATGGGGACCAATTCCAAAGAAAAACAATTACAGACTTTTTTTAAACAGGTATCACAGACGTATTGCAAATGTCAAATACAGCTGCTGGAATTTGTGTTATCTAAAAACTTTGTTGTTTCAATTTGATCCCTAAAAGGTTATGATTGGTACCTCTAACCTTTGCGATTAGTGGGCTAATTAGGAAAAGTATCAGTAAAATAAAATAAAAAATCATAATAAGGTTATTGTGCGCGGCGAAAAAATTAAATTTAGAAGCGTTCCAAATGTGGTGTTACAGACGCATTATGACGATACCCTGGATAGAGAAGAATACGAGAACAGAGAATTCTATGGAAGTTAGTAGGTTAGTTAGTTAGTTAGTTAGTGGGAGATAGGTTGTTAGGACATCTCAGATATGAAGCAGAAACAGGAGTTAAGAGGAGTAGAAGTGGACCTAGATGAGATTACTATTCACAAATAGCTAAGGATGTGGGATGTTTTAGTGCTTCCATTTTATAAAAAATAATAGAACCACAATTGTTTCGCTAACACAATAGCTTTTTCAAGTGGAGTGTTACAGTAAATATTTTACAGAATTAACTTATATATACCTTAACTAAAAGTGGTGTGGGGGTTACATTAGAATAAATTTAACAAGGGTGATGTATTTAACTTTATTTGATCATTTAACAATAGTTCTGCGTTTCGATTTTTAATTTTATTATTTCCAGAGATTCTAAAATTTTAAGTACTATTTCTTCGTTTAATGTGTGGAAAATTCTATAATTTCCTTTAAACCCATGATTTTCTTAGACGATTGGAGTTATCAGAAGTTTCTTTTCTAAATTCAGTTTTTAAAATTTTCAATAATTCTGGTTTTGAATGTTCTTTCTGTTTGGCCAATATAGCATTTGTCACATGTACCACTTATTAACTTGTAGACGCTTAATTTTTTAGAATTAAAATAAATTTTCTTAATTTGTTTGTGGTTTTAAATAATAACATTTTCTTTTCCAAAAATTGATGAAATAATGATACTTGCTGCTTTTAAAATGACTTAAAAGCAGAAATCTTACAAATATCTACCTATTTGTTGCAACACAAAACAATTATTCGTGAAATCGCATTAATTTTAATAAATCCATAAAATTGTCTATTATCGTATAATGATTTAAATTTGATACTGGACTTCCAAACGTAAATAACCTCATTACATGCTTAGGCATTGATTAATATTTTTTAAAGGGTGTTGTGTAGTGTTTATGTAGTCCTCTAAACATTCACCCGAGTATTTTTATTTTACGATAACACACGGGCGTTGCTTTCTGACCCAGTTGTTACTTAATTAAACTGATTTGTCGACGGAAGTCAATCATAAATTAACATTAATTGAAAATAACAAAATGCATTTATGCGTCACTATCGGTTATTGAACATTTCAATATATAATTGCAGGCCAATAATATAATTAAGCAATCTACCATAATGCACATGTATGTATTGCTAAAATTAGCATACGTAATATATGTACTTATGCATATTTCAAAAGTTAAACATTTTGTCTCGGTTTGTTTTTGTATTAGCCTATGGGTAGTAAACAGAAGTGAATTTTTGTGAAATATCTAAATAATTCCGAATGTTCTGTATCACCGATCTGATAAACTGAGTACCGTTGTTGGAACTGATATTCCTGAGGATTCCATAGGTAATAAATACCTCGCTGACTAGTGTCCAAGAGCACGCATTAGAAACTGCTTGCACCAGCGAGACAAGCTAGACCTATCGTGAAATGGTATCCTCAACAAATAGTCTCCAGGTCTCTTGTCTGGGTTCAGGCGGTAGGAGCCCAAAGAGATTCACGACGATTGCCTGGAAGCGTTGTTGAAGGATCGGAGTTTGCAGTAAGTCAAATGACTTTTTTTTGTGGGCCTTACAGGAGGCCAGAGATTGGTGAGTAATACAATTCTTCCAGTAATCGGGGTCGTGTCACCGAACGGTGGACATATTAGGTTTTCTTGCTGCTATCCTCGAAGGCGTACCGATACAGGACACCTTGGGATAATAATTCCCCACGGAACACCCCCCCATCCACGAGATTCCCCTAAATCCTCAGATTTCGGGGTAGGTCGTCTATCGAAGGGCGGGTTGAACGGTTAGAATTGAAGTATCTACCACGCCATGCGCACGCTGGGTGAATGTAGGTTCATCAGCCAAAAAAGGGGTTGGTGGTCGGTAACGATGATCGCAGGGGTTGCGTTCAAATATCCCGTAAACTTTTGAGCTGCCCATATAACGACAAAGGCTTCTCTTTCTGTAGTGGAATAATTTTTCTCGGCTTTTGTTAAGAATCGAATTCTATATTCTATGGGTATTTTCTCCCCTTGGAGTACAGCCGCTTATAGAGTGTAGCCGCTAGCATTTGTTTGGAGAGTGTATAACTTCCCTGGGTCCGCTTGCTTCAGGATAAGTGCGAAGGTGAGGGCTTCTTTCAACAAGTCTGAAGGAAGGTTACTGATTACCGGAGGTTCTTGGATTTTCAAGAAGACCGTAATTTTCCTAAGGTCAGGGTAAATTCCCGTGGGGGCAACAGGAGGGACCCAAATATTGCACTGAGGTACACATGAAGTGGTACTTGCCGCAGTTAGTAGTAGAGTGAGTAGTTAGACGTGAGAATTAGTGCCGTAGGTCCTCAGGATGATCCTAGAAAGTTCTAGACAATACGATAATATCGTTAAGGTAGACTAGGATGTGTATTCTATCTAATCCAATTTTGAATTTGTCCATCAGCCGTTAGAATATCGAGGGGGCATTGCGCAGACCCAAATATAGGCACGCATACTGGAAGATGCCGAAAGGTATCATTAATGGGGGTTTTCTCGGTCGTCGTCAGGGTAATTTTATTGGGCATCTCTAGTGGCGTGCAATAGATCCTGTAAGCAGGATAGTGAGAAGTTGTCGGGTTGGGTAACCGCGTTTAGTCAGTGCTTTTGCACTAACACGACTTAAAGTACGGCCTGTCGGGAGCTGTTCATCCAGTAAGGGGGCTTGCTATGAGTGCATGGTTTCTAGTGTTGTGCGATGCACGGCATGAGATGGAAATGATCCGTTTTCAGAGAACTACACCTCGAACTTACGAAGTAGCGTGTTATTGGTGTCAGTGTCTGGCTTTCTTGTGGCGAAAGCTCAAGGGGTGACCTGGCGAGATGCTTTGGGAAAAAGGTAAAAGAGGAAGCTCCCTATCATTTCGCCAGTTGGTGTGGAGGTTGCGGTAGTGAACTAACCGGCGGAAGATTGTAAATATTCTCTGGAGGTGTCTGTTCTTTTCGGCCTACTGGGACACTCTCAAAGGTTGATATTGACTGTCGGAGGTTGTGGTTGTTGCCGTCGGGGTGATGATAAAACTGGTTTCGATGGTGCAATCTAGTAATATCAATTTTAATGTAATTGTCAGGACTATGTGGGTAGAGATGTCACCGACCGTTTGTTTGATATGCACCAGTGAAAGAAAGAATGTGCAACCTGCGGCTTTTGCTACCTCATACAGTTGAGTGCTGACGAGGATGGACATAACGGCCGCATCGTTCTTTGCGCAGATGGTGATAGCTACCGAGAGACGGTCAGTCACTGTTGTGGACAGGGAGCAGAAATCGAGATTCAGGATGGCAGCTTCTGTGTGCCTGGCACAACACGCGCAGATTGTTTACATCCGTAACACCCAATACCTTGCTCGATTTCTTGGGGGCTGTAGATTTAAGGGGGATTTTCTTGACTTTCTTCCGACAGATGGCTTCTGAATGACCAAAACTGCGCCAAAATGTGCATCGGATACGTTCTCTTTCGGGTGTAGTTCTCTTGTTGTCGATCTAACTTAGTAGCCTCCTCGGTAGGTTAGCGTTTTTCCTGAAGGATTGCTTCCGCGGCTCTTTGCAAGTGCAGCCAGTTCCAGAAAGGCCCTTGCTGTGGTTCTCAAGACGCGTTGCCGAAAGGTCAGAAGGAGTTACTCTCAGTAGGCGTCCCTCGAGTTGGGATTTCCTAAACATTTCCTGATAGATTTGGTTGTTCGATCTGATGAGCGCAAATTCATCTCGAATCGCTACCTTTCCGTATCTCGACTGTGACTGCCATTTCTTCCCACCGCGTAACAGCAAAGAAAGGTCAAGGATGCCATTGGCATTCCATTAGTTTGTTTAAAGAGCCCTATCTTGACAGAGAAGTCTTCTACTGACTACCTGATTCTAGTCCCGTCCAAGCGCTAGGATCAGTGGGTAAAGTATTGGGCTAGTCGAATTGCGTTCTGTCGCGCGAGTAGCTGCTCAATGAAATCCTCCGATTAACTGGATTTGCCTGGTGTATCCATCCGTACTAACCGAATCTTCACTCGGCCAGGAAATAAATTCTCTGATACATTTTGCACTAACCGGTTTTTGGTTAGGTTAGGGATGACAAATAACTATATTGTCGAGTATAACCGCACTAACACACTAACCGGATCTTTTTTGTAGGCTTCCACCTTCACGTTGGTCGCCATTTATTACGGGATTTAAATGAATAAAACATTCAGAGATAATTGATTTCGGTTTGTCGTTCAAAGTTTATTTATGTGATTAATTACTAACATACAGATTCTTTTAATTAGGATATATGTAAAGCGCAACGAGATTAGTAACGGTGATCGCAACGGACTAAGCAGTGAAGAAACGTTGGCTTCAACGAATGTGCAAGGAAAGACTAAACCCCGGATGATACACAGTTGAAGAGGAGCTATTATTTGAAAGCCCAGTAACTGTCGTTTTCTAGAGAAACCCCTTTGCTCTATGAAGAGATGAAGTAGTGGTGGAGGGTAATAATAATTAGACGCTCCTACTCCAATGGAAGGGGTGGACGGTGGCGCTAGCGACGAAAGTAGTCGGAAGAAATAACGTACTACCCGGCACAGTAGTAGCGAAACTTAATGCGTAGAGAGATTGTGTTCCAAAGCGAAATAGACTGTTTCTCAAACTTTTTGTTCAAAAATAATTAGCAGGTATAAGTACTTATCGGAGACACAAAATTAAAGTACTATAGAATGTCACCTCAAGGTAGGCCTAGTGGCGTCATCTCTTGGTTAGGCCGGAAACTTATCAATCCACCCTCGTAGACTGTTTCTCAAACTTTTTGTTCAAAAATAATTAGCAGGTATAAGTACTTATCGGAGACACAAAATTAAAGCGATCTAGATTATCATTTGACTTTAGTCATAATTTATTCTAAAAACAATCATTCCTTGTGGAAGACAAAATCAATACGGAACATACGATCATTTGACTTTTATACAAACGTTTCAGAATAAATCTTAGCCGAATATAATCACCATTTGTCGTTAGCATCACTTGTACAAAATCAAAGTGAAAATAACTACAGTCTACTAATTTCAAACTGACAGTACAGCTTTTATTGTATTAAAAATGTATCTTTTTTTAACAAACCTGATCAAGTGACACCCTCATATACAAAATTATTAAAAAAATACGTTCATTTTTGAGATTTACCTGTAACATCCAAACTGTAGGATCCATAATCATACATTTGCCGATGTAGGTGTATGGCTGAAAGATACAAAAGGGCAACGGCTAAAACCATTCTGTAACAAAAAAAGAACCGAGATGTAAACATACATTACTATTTTCTAAAGTCACATCATTATCTACCAGTGGCGACTCGTCGGGTTAGGCAAAATAGACGCCCCTTAGCGTTAAAAACTCCTTCGATTTTTACTTTTCAGTACATCACAATAATTAATCATCATCATCATAATAAAATACAACTTACTTTAAAAATAATTGTTTCACACAATTCATATTGTCACTATCAACCATAGGGAGGTCATAACGGCAGGAGAAGACTACGTAGGGCGTTATTACTTAAAATTAAATTATATTTAAGGACATCCTAAACGTCATGTTACCGTCATGAAGCTCTTGCCATCAATAAAGTCCATGTAGTCTCTATAAAATATGGCAGGGCCAGCCATCAAGGCGGGGAAGTTTAGGGAGTAACTGAAATACTCGAGGGCTGTGGGCATACGACGCACTGCGTAATACTTTTGATTTTTTGACAAGTCCACTTCCTTCCGCGTAAGACCATCGTGTATATTGAATGCCAAACTGGTTACCTTCTGCGTTATTACCATTAACGGACCTGAAATAGAAAGANGAGGTCATAACGGCAGGAGAAGACTACGTAGGGCGTTATTACTTAAAATTAAATTATATTTAAGGACATCCTAAACGTCTTTATACAGAAATATATGACACGGGCCGCCACTGTTATTCACTAAAAACGAAAGTAAATGTCTTTATAAGTTCATACTGACCTCTGCATAATCTCAGGACTTTGAGTTCTTATCACTATGTAACATAACGCTGGTAATCCTGCCAAATGGATAGCTTGCCTGAAAAAAAAAAGACAAAAGTTAATTGTTTTGTTCTTCAGAAACAACCTTTTTTTTGAAAATAATTTGTAGAGTATAGGATTTAGACGGGAACCGGATAACCCAGTATCCACTAAATCTCTTCCCGTCTGGCTGACTTTGTATTACGGCACTCTCATCAACGTCTCAAATCAATCTTTAAATCCTGTTCAAAGTTGCTTAAACTACCAAGCAATGAAATTTTCATTGTAAGTTGTCGCATTTTCAAAGAGACGCCCGAGTTAAATTACTATTACTGGTGTGTCTTTTTCTCCGGTATCTAGTGCCATTATTTGGTACCCGGCCGATATCTAAAAGTGTTGGACCGCCGAGTATCTGATCCAGACTGAAGTACCCGGCCCATTTCTATTAGGATTGTTAACAGTTTAGGTTTAAGTTATCATCTGTATATATTTGGTCCGGATCTCTAGTGGCGAAAGTGAAAACTATTACAGGATTGCATTCAGAGAATATGTGTTTTCACCTCGTTCAAACAGCAAAACAAGATTGATTTGTGGTATAGAAAATTGTAGAAATAATTACAAGAGAAATTTTACAAATTTCCTCATGAAGGAAAACGTTTTGTTTATATTAATACCATTATGAACGACATAACAATTATATCGTTATGTGTAACACTTATACTTTCTGAATAATATAAAATCATCTTTTGTAAAATGCATAGAGCAAACATTCAACATCTTTTTAACTTTGCTTATTTTCAAAGCTTTTTTCCATGCTTCCAAATAGTCTATTTTTTTTAATTTTCCAAAAATATTTGGTATATAAACAAAACGTTTTCCTTCATGAGGAAATTTGTACAATCTCTCTTGTAACTATTTCCACAATTTTCCACACAACAAATCAATCTTATTTTGCTGTTTGAACGAGATTAACACTTTATTAATTCCATTGTTTAAAAATTTAGCTGTAAATATGGATTAATAAACAAATTTAATCAGATGGAGCTTGATACACATATTCTCTAAATGTAGTCCTGTAATAATTGTCACTTTCGCCACTAAAGGACCGGACTGAGTATATTAGATCCCAATAGGGCTATCGAGCTGAGAGCTTGGATTTATGGGATCGTATCACCTCCAATTTCATCATCATCATCATAAGGTCGTCAGTCCTAAGACTGGTTGGACACGCACCTTCACTCTTTCCTATCCTGAGCTAAACTTCCCAAGACTAGAACAACCCATATCCTTAACTATCTGCGAACAGTAATCTAATCTAGGTCTACCTCTACCTCTCCTAACTTCTGTTTCTGCCTCTAATATGTCTCTGACTAGACCTCCATGCCTGAGAAGGTGTCCTACCAACCTACCTCGCTTATTTCATATTGAATTCTATAGAGTCCTTTGTTCTCCTACTCCTTCCAATACCTTCATTTCTAACCTTTTCTATCCACGGTATCCTCATCATTCGCCTGTAACACCACATTTCGAACGCTTCTAACCTTTTCTTTTTCGCCGCGCCCACTGTCCATGTTTCACACCCGTACAACACCGTGCTCCAAAAATACACCTTTAACAACCTTTTTAGAATTTCTAAATTAACCGTTCGCGAGCATAGAAGTGACTTCTTTTTACTGAAGGCAACTCGACCCTGCGCTATCCTCTGCTTTATATCCCTACTACTCCTTCTGTCTTGACTTTTCCGACTTCCTAGATACCCAAAATCAGTCACTTCTTCTAATTTTTCGTCTCCTATCTTTATATTCGCTCTTTCCCTAGTGTTTCTTCCCTTACATACCAGTATTTGTGTTTTACTTTTATTTTGTCAATACCGTTACCATTTTATTTAAAACTATCTCTAATTCCTCCTTGCTAGAAGCTAATACTGCTAAATCATCTGCAAATATAAGCATACTAATCTTTTGCCTTTGTATGTCTATCCCTACAGTTGTACTGTCTTTAATGATATTGATCGATTGATAATTATTTTCCGAGATTTACAAATCCACAGCTGTGGGTCGAGGTGAACCCTGAATTCTACCACGGCTGGCATGCACGTGATAAATATGTTGGTACTTCAAACTTGTTAGGACGTGTTATGCTTGAGACCATTCATTTATTAAAAGACATCTTTTGAAGACGTACGTTTATTACATTTATTGAATAACTAACACGTCGGACGCGAAATTCAACTAATTGGATATGTATGTGTGCATTTATTATTATGTGCATGTTATACATAGAATTAGGTAAGTGTATATCATGTTCAATTGGACTTTTATCTGACGGTCGGTTAACTCAAGGTAAAATCAACTGCATTAATTTAACAATAACATCTCAACGCACATTATAATAATAATAATAAGAACGCAACAATAGTACAATACACAATGCAATAAAGAATGAATTGAATTTCTAATTTTCATCTAAAATTCAAATTTAAATTGTTCCTAAAAGACTGCAATATAATGCAATCTAACACGTAAAAATTAACATTTGACAAGAATAATTTTAAATGAAGAAACCATGATGGCAGGCTGAAGGGTGATGTGACAGGTACAAGACAATTGACAAATTAAGCAGTATTAAAAGGAAAATTTGTAAGTAAATTGGCATATAAAGTTTAGGACGAGAAATTTTGAATTTGAGTGATAAAAACATTTAGACAATTTAAAAAAAACGGATTTATTAAAAAACAAATAAATAAATGGTAAAGGTCAGATGACCCGACCTGAAGAGGGGGATCGAAGGAGGAGGTCTCCCCCACCACTGTACCATAAAAAGTTCGTGGCGGTCTCATCCCCATAAAAAGTTATAGAGGTTCAAAGTTAATAAATATGCCAATTTTTATGCATTTCTAGGCATGTAAATATTTATATAATCATCCTTAAACAATATTCAAAGGTAAAACTAATGAAAAATACATAAAACTTTTGAGAAAGTCATATAAAACATTATTTAAATAGCTTTATCAATAGGGTAGGTTAGGTTA